TGCCTGCAAGGGGTCACAGTTCATCTGAACACTTCAGGCTGTTCACTTCTATCAGTGATCACACCATTTTTTTAGTTCTGTTCTTACCCTCACCTAGTGGTGATATTTTTCCCGAGTGAGTGGAGTTGTCTTCAAACTTGCTACAAGTTCTCCCCTATTGCATAGCTGAACTCGCTAGTTTGTGCTGAAACTTGTCTCCTTAAAATTTTAGAACTTGCCAGTTTATTTGTAAACCCATTGTTATCGAAAGCTTTGGAACCCACGATTGTTCTTTAATGAGTCAATTCCTAATTTTTCGACTTTACTTTCTTATTTTTCAGCGCGAATTGTTGGTTGTTGTCACTGTATCTTTTATTTCATTTTTTCTGAATACCGTGTTTTTTGTGTACTTAACATAGGAACATTTGAACCATTACTCTCTAAAATTGTGTTCACGGCCACTTCCTAAATTGAATGCACAACTAGTGAAGACCGGGCTTTAATTCAAGTAAATTTTGAAAATACCTGTAGAGGTTTTATCATGTCTATTGATACCCCTTTTATTCAAGAATTCTTGAAAACAGGGCATGGAAAAATGAATAAGAACTAAAAAAGCGCTATGATTTTGGTTCGGAGAAAAGTAATTTATCTTGGTGGAAATCAAGCGAAGTTGATTGATTAGGTAATTCCATTGATCTTCTTTTTCAATTGTTGTTGCCGTGTTGAATTATCCAAAGATGGAAGCCTGTGAACCAACCCTTGTGCATGTTCTTCATTCCTTTTTTTTTCATGTGCTGTTGACCGTTTATTTTGATGATAGGACGCGTCTGAGGAAACAGGCTGGGTTGACGTCGACGATATCCCTGATAATTTGGCAGGAAATAATGAAGATGCCTTTTCTTATTCAGTCAGCGATGAAGATGAAGATCCGAATCATCCAACATGTGAGTGTGAATTCATTTTTCAATTTTCTTTTGCCGTCCTTGAAAAAAATAAAATAAAGCTCGGTAGTTACGCTGCTGGACGGGAAGTCTAAAACAAGAATCGTTTCTTCAAAATATATTTCAAGCGAAATTAATGTATGACCTCTTTTTTCGCACTAGTTTCATGTTTGGGAGAATTTCGGGATGAAAGTGCCGAGAGTGAGGATA